TTTCAACATCTCCAGCTAACATGGCTAGTCTAGCTTTTTCATTATGGTTATTTTCTCTCATCCATTGTTTTATCATTCTGCCGACGCTAGCTGATGCTGTCGTACTGTGATAGCTGTGAAGCAATTCTTCCACAAACAATTTATATTCTTTATTCAGCTTGGACTTCCACAGTGTTGTGTGTTTGGTGTCCTCCAACTGTTCTGAACAATTCAAATTTCGATCTTGCCAACTATGACAAAGATGAAGTGATATACCTTTCCATAGTGGGCTGAAGTTATTTGAACATAAGTATTTCTTTTTTTTTGAAAAGGGCTTATTACTTTCGTCTGCTAGCATGCTAGTTAGCAAGCTAAAGTCTACACAGCTAGCAAAAACCTAAAAAGTAAAGGCAATATATGATGTTTCTAAAGCAAAGCTTTATGTCAATTTATGCACATTTTGTTCAGACATCTCAAAATACTCTGCCTTACAAACTTTGCTTAGCTAGCAGACTAGCTCTAACCTAGCTGAGGGGGAGTGCATTCCACCTGAACAAAGTTTCCTCTAGTTTTACGCAAATTAGCTTTCCTGAAAGTTTGACTGAAACATTTGACTTAAAATTGAAACATGTCATAACAGAAGGCTGTATGAAGGATTTTCACTTTAGAAAGTAGACAGTCATAAGGAAAAGTTTGGGCACCAGGGTCAAATTGGCATGAATACACTTCTGCACATTTTAGTGTACATTTACTGTTGCACTGCTGAATTTAACACATGGGGGAGATTAGAACAAAAAATGTGGCATGCACAAAGTTATGTGTTTTTTCCGTTATGTTAAATTCAGCAAATAAATAGAAATTAAGCTCTACACTTTGCAGGAAATTGCATACACAGCGAATATATTTATGTTTGTTTACATATAGGATTTCTTAATTTATTTTTACTTAGAAGATCAACAAAACATGTAAGTTGATTGAACTTTACTCAAACTTTTGCATGCAGCTGTATATTGCTTCACTGGTATCCCTTTCAGCAGTTTGTGTTGACTGTATAAATAAACTATATTTGAACATGAGTTTAGCATGAATGCAATGATGATGAGGTCAGCACACAGTTAGGGCAAATAAATTGGGACAGCAGGCAATATTGTTGTTATGGGACAACATTAAAAATGCTGTAACCCTGTCTTGCCCCACTGTTAGAGCCTTTAGCATTTAAAATGAATTGCTTTCACCACAGCTCCTCATAATCATATATCTAAATTCATAGATTACTCTTACATAATAACAATAAAAAATAAATCAAAAGGTCTGGGGGAATAAATCACAGAAATGCAGCCATTCAGATGAAATTACAAAATTAGCCAGGGCACAGCCATTCAGTAAATGTGCTGAGAGTAGGCCTGCAGAACATTCAATTTCCATGTTGTGTTTACATCAACATTTGGATTATATGTACATCAGAGAGATCGAATAAATTTGAATCATCTTAATACAGAAGATTTTTCCTAAGAAAAAAAAAAACCTAGGAATAATAGTGCTGTAGCTTTAGTGTCTCTGTGAGGTTTGTTGTAATGTTCCTTGTGAAGGATGTTGTGACATGAGCTAAGTACGTGTTTATGCCATCTCCAATCTATCCTACCAGACATACCGGCAGCTTGCATTGTAAACTTCAATTAGTTGGTAATACTCTACTGCTTACTCTTGTATTAGTCTGGTTAACTTGAATCAAATATTCTTCTTTGTGTAATCTATTTTCATCAATTAAAACAATTCCATTGTATTAATTGGACTGTTTTGTACAGGAACAAATAAGTGGCTTAGATAAAACTGGTATTATCCATTTCTGAGAACTGTAATACATATTTGCCGTTCTGTTAGTATTCATGGTGTTGGGCTGAACTGGTAGCCCGTATACAAAACACTATCATTGTGAGAATGACAAAAACATGTAAAACACATCAAAATGTTTAATATGAGAGTGTGCAATGAAACATTTTGCAAAGAGGTAATTAATAGAAACTAACAAAACTGCTATGAGTGCTTGGACAAAAATCTCTTTAATCTACAGGATTTATCCAAATTAACTGATCTTAAAGAGATTTTCCTTAGTAATTTAGGATTATATCAGAAGTAGTATGTGTGTTCCTAGATTTGCATTAGTAATTTTGACAGATTAGTAAAGTAAACGAAAAAATAATAATAAGTTAATGCAATTATTATGTCTTACAGTGTTTGGTAGAGGACTGGGTATTCCCATCATCATATAATTGACTCGGTGGAGCCTCTCAGGGTCATCAACGCTGATGTTAATAAGATTCTAATTTGCCACAGCCCATATGGCCTATGTTGATTAATGTCATCCAACATTCTTTTAGTTAGTCTTTAGTATGAAGTTTTGATACGCCTTAATCACAAAGTCACGAGCAAGGTTGATTTACATATAATTTGCATAAAGGTGTAACTGCACGGGGGGGGTGTATCTGAGGGTGCTTTCCTTAGTTTTCCACAGAAATTATGAATGTCATACATTTCTAAATTTGAACCTTAATTATGCTGTGGTAAATTACCCAACCAGAGGAACAAATGCCAGCTCAGAGAATCTGAATTATGTATAATAATATGATATTCTATTCCATCATTCACTTTTGCTATTCATCAACAGGCCATTAAAAGACTATTAAAATATATCTGTTGTTTTATCAGCTTGATGTTACCTTAAAAATACCAGTGAAACTTTAAGCTTTTAGTGAGGAATTGTCACATTAAATATTAAATATTTGCATGTAAAAGCTATCAGTTCCGCTGATCTATTCTACTTAGAGTGCCGTGAAATTTGGAAAAAACTGTGTGTCTGATTTCCATCTGCGTAAGAGGAGTACTGAACAGCATTATTCTCAGTGCTGCCTAACTGACTCCGTGGCAATAGATTTTCATGCATGAAGCTCTGTTTAGAAATTCATTTGCATCCCTTTGTAAAGTCACAAACAAGTCTAGATACCTGGAGATACAACTGGAGGTTATTTGCATGGAGTTGCAACAGTTACATGAAGCACACAGCAAAACTGTCCACATACAACGGCCCTTAGTATAATCTGTGTACGTTGTACTCTGTTTACTTACGCACTTGTCTACTGTGGAACTAGACTCAAAGATACCATCAATATAGTAGCATTCATCAAGGATGCATATCGAATGACATTTTATTCACAGCATGAATTACCATTCTGAACCTGGCATGCATGTAGGCTTGCATGTAGTCTTAAACACTATTCAGAAGGTATTCATTGTCTATGGGGAGGTGGGATAGTGGTATGGAGTCTCTTTTTATGACACTACATTTGTCATTTCTGCCTGTGGTGGTCTTAAGCTGCATTTTAAAGTAGAAGGAGAAAGTTTGTGAGCGATCTTTAAGTTGGCTTCACAGTGTCATTACTATGAAATCCCAGGTGGTTTGCTAGGCTGTTGGTATGGTGTCCCAGGTGGTTGCTAAGATGTTGCTGGGCCACTGCTATGGAATCCTAGGCAGTTGCTAAGGTTTTGCTTGGCAATTCCTGTGTTATCCCAAATGGTTGCTAAGGTGTTGCTAGGCTGTAGTTATGTTATCCCAGGTGGTTGCTAAGGTGTTGCTAGGCTGTTGCTATTTTGTCCCAGATGGATACTAAGGTGTTGATAGGCCTTTGCTATGGTATCCCAGGTGGTTGCTAATATGTGTGTATGTAATGTCTGTGTGACATTGTGACATCTTTTGTGGCAGTTAAATTTCAGTTTTCTGCCTTTCATTTCTAATGGGAAAAATGTGTATTTAAATGCAGGTTCAAAATGTTGAAATGCATGTACAAAAATCGTACATGCAATCAGTCCCCAAAGCACAAATGTACTATTTCCATACAGACCGCGTGGTTTTGGAAAGTTGTATGGTTCTAGCTCTAAAACTGCAACCCTAGCTCAAAAACTGCAACAAAAAGTTGTGATGCTGAAATAGGCATATTCCTGTCAGACCATGGCTTTTGAACTTATTTGTTTGGCCTGGAGAACATGACATCCATTATTTGCATAAACAATCTGAAAAAGTTCATTTGTCAAACCACAATACACATTTCCAATGTGCACCATTCAATTTCGGATGCACTTGAGCCCAGAGAAGTCAGCAGCATTGCTGGATATTGCTGACATATGACTGCTGCTGTGCACAGTACATTCCCTAACCTGCCTTTGTGGATGCAGTGATGACTACTGACAGTGGAAGTCAAAGTATTCCCAAGCCCATGTGTGTGTGTTTTAATGAGGGAGGGATCAAAGGTCACAGGAATACATTTGTGGTTTTCAGCCGTGCCCTGTACACGCCAAAATACATCTATATTCCCTGAATAATTTAAAGATATCATGCACCATAGGGAGTGGAAAACCTAAAATCGAAACATTTTTAAACTGTTGGGTTAATCACTGAAGCATTTTTTGCCAAAGTGGTAAGCCTCAATCCTTTCCTGGATGCTCTTTTTATACCCAAGCATGACTGCATCACCAGCTTATGATGCTATTTGAACATTTCACATTGTTTCCGTTGTCTTAAACGGCGCTTAATCCACGTTTTTTGGAATGTGTTGCCACAGATTGAGCATATATTTAAAAAAAAAACAAACAAACAAAAAAAACGATAATGTTAAAAAGGTAAAATATTGAATATCTTGTCTTTGTGCTGTTCTTGTTTAAATACAGGTAAGTATGGATTTACACATCACTGTATTCTTTTTTATTTGCATGTCACATACCATCCAGACGTTTGTACATTAAACTTAAGAATGTTCTCCTGATATAATAATTTCATAACTGACAGAACAAGGATAAATGAATGTTAACTTGACTGTGAGAAATTGGGGTTGGGCTTGAGTAGGACTTGTGATATTTGAACATATCAGAAACAGCTGGACTTCTGATCTACTGGGTTAGAATAGTATTTAGTTGAAATAAGCAGAGTTTCTTCATAAGTAACTAACCCTATACCAGTAATAACCTACATCTTCGTCAGTGAACAAGCATGATTTGCAAGTGAAATAAACAGATGATGCTGCTGAATGCTCATAACACTGTTTATGAACATATACGAACTGGCTCTCTTCAGGTAAGAACTCCTATGTATTCATGCTTACAGTTACAGTATTCAGTCATATTCATATACGTTTAATAAACATTAGTCTTGTACATTAAATTAATTTGTTTATAGTTTTAATCTGCAGGGGTACTTCAATACTTTTCTCTCATTACTACATAACATCCACTTTATTTTCAAAGAAGTTACAGAATAATTTACAGCTGTAGTTCAAGGGGATTAATGTTCAGGTATTCTTGTCTCCGGCAGGCCCCAGAAGATGGGAATGATGTCTTTGATCAAGTGGAGTTTCTTGTTGTCAGCAGCTCTGACGTTCTTTCACCCTCACGTCTCATCTCAATGTATGTCACATTTAAAGCTTGTAGAGTTAACGTTATCCATTATATTATTAGTTTTTACAGTCAAAATAACAGCATTCGTCTCTAGATTACATTCTAGCATGAGTAAAAACACTGCTGATGTAGTTTGCTAATAGTGCTATTCTGAAGTCAGATTCAATTCATGAAAAATGTGCCAGTGTCATTTCTAAAGTTGAAACTAACGCTCAGCAGACTCTCAGTAACATCAGGACCAAGGTGAGGGTTAGGATTAGGTTTTGGGTTGAGGTTAAGGTTAGGATTATGGCCAGGGTTAGGGTTAGGTTTTGGGTAAGGTTGGGTAAGGTTAGGTTTTGTGTAATGGAAGTAACACATTAACAATATATCTACTTACTGTAAGTAATGTATCAACAGTACATGTACAAGATACTTACTACAATGTATTCTGATACTTCACTACTGCTACTTCACTGATGATGTTGTTGATGTGTTACTGATAATCTGTTAAGAGTTAATTAATCATCTACAAAGGACCACTTCAAATAAAGTGTTATCATTTATTTGTTTATCGTTCCAGCCTGTAAAAAGTATATTTTCATAACCGACTTCAACTCTTCGTATGTGGGAGCTACTAATTTAACTTCAGCATGCAACTTCAGCTCCTGTGAGTTTGTAATACATTATAATAATGCTGTTATATCTTATATTGAAATGGATGTAAACGTGGAAAATCTGGATTGAGCAATGCTATTTTCTTGTTGTTTATGTTGCTTTTATAGACCCACAAAACCAGAGTCTGCCAACGGCTTTTCCCTGGATCATGAATCAGTGTTTCATGAATTTGTCAAAACTGGGTCAGTCATATTATGCCTCTGTTGCAGCTCAGAATTAATTACTGGGTCAGTCATATTATGTCTCAAAGCAGCTCAGAATTAATAACTTAATGTAACTGAGTAAAAACAGATTATTTTCTTCACAAATACTTAAGCAGAATTAAAGGTCTCATTTGAAAATACTTAGCAAAGTACAAACACATCCATTTTTTCCTTATAGTTCATGTAACTTGTTACCCATCACAGTATATTGAAATGGTATTTAGCAGTAGAAATACTGTCCAGCCATCACTTGCATAACATATAAGTGAACGTTGGCCTTATGTTTTGCCCTTTACCTTAAGTGAGCTACTTGAAATCACTTCAGTGAAATATTTAAATGGAAAGTAAACAGAATCAACCATAACTTGGGTTTTAGACTCTGAGTTAATGTTTCAGTGCTGAAGATTTTACATTTGCAAAGTTTCAGTTGAACAGTTTAAAATGGATCCTGTAAGGCAGTGGTCACCAGCCCTGCACCCTCCTGCAGAGTCTATCTCCAACTACAATCTGCCACACCTGCTCCAGCTAGTTAGCTTCCTCAGAAGTTCCTAATTGGCTCTATCTGCTGTGTTGGTGTTAAGTAAGGTGGGGGCGGCATGTTAGATGCAGGTAAGAACTGATCTCTGCAGGAAAGTAGATCTGTTGGTGACCACTGTCTTAAGAATTTTAACTTAGGATGCTTTATGCAAGTGGCCACCGATCAGTAAAAGATAATAAGATAGTATAAGTTAATAAAACCCATAAACTAAAGATATTTGATGTTAAAATAAATGTTATAAAGGTTAAATCACTAACAGGGACAGTTATTCATAACATTTGTTAGGATTTGTTAAAACACTAACAGTAGATACTAGAATATTGGAATGAAAAAGTGAACAGTACACATTAATGCGCTGTATGTACCTTATTTCTTAATGACATTAAATATTTTGCTTTATTTTGTAGGAATCTGCTCCATCGGAATATCTGACTACACCTGGAATGTGACGACACCTAAAGAGAAATATGAAATCTATTTGAATGACATTTCTGGACTTACTGTACGATTTATACTAAATGCTTCTACACTACTGCCATCAGTGACTTACACTAATGCAGGTTTGTTATCCCCACAGTGTTTTATACCCATTTTATTATTGACTGCTGACTCAGAAGTAACAGAATGAAAAGGTTAGGGAAGTGTGCTGTGCTATCTAGAGATAATGAGTGCAATTGGATTTAAAAACACCCTGTCTCAGCGGATTCTTGGTCTGTTAGCATATGAAGCAGCCTGCAGTCTACAGTTACAGCTCCTTTTTTTCTGTTCGCACTAAGACCTTACTCAGATGTGTGTTGGTGGTACTGAAAAGCATCTCTTTTTATTATTTTTTAAGCGACCTAACATGAACAGAAGCCTATTTTTACCACTTGAAAAAAAACCCATATAGTATGTCGTAATAATGAGAAAGTTTCTCATAGTTATGACCTGCTATCTCATAATTACGAATTAATATCTTATAAAAATGAGAAAATTTTAGTCATTGTCTAAGTCATAATTATGAGATATGAAGTCATAATTATAAGATAGCAAGTCAAAATTGTGATAGTAAATCATAATTAAGATCATAATAAGATACTAAGGCAAAATTATGAGAAAATGTCTCCATATTATGAGATAGCAAGTCAACATTATGAGATACTGTTACAGTTTCAAGACCGGATCTTATTATTAGGAGATAGCAAGTCATAGTAAGAAAGATAGCAAGCCATATTTATGAGATAGAATGTCATTATTATGAGCAAATCATAAATATCAGATTATAAGTCATAGAATTCCATTATGTGATAAGATGTCATAATAGTGAGATGCTAAGTAGTAATGATCATGTTCAAGTTCAGGTTTCAAATTTATTTGTCATTTGCACAACATGTCAGGACATTCATGCACTGAAATGCTTGTGGTGAAGCTCAGATAATCACTCTACAGAAAGTACTGAAACTGAAATATATAAAATATACACAAAATATACACAAAATATAGAGACAGAAGGGACCTATGTAAGAAAAAAAAACCTCTCTGCTATGTACAAATATATTTATATTGAACAAGGGATAATCTGTGAAGAATATATAGATTAAAAATGTATACATTTTAAAATGATGTGATACAAAGTCATAATTATGAGATATTATCTCATTATTGTGAGATAGCGAGTCAATTATGAGATGCTGTGACTTACTAAATGGCTATATTTTTTCCCAGTGTCTGTGTGGGCTTCCATAAATGTACCACAGATCACATTCAGCACAGTCTCATCAGGAAGTGCTATAATACAAAGCAGCTCTCCAAATACATGACCAAAATGCTAACTGCTAACTGATAATTACAATAGCGTACAAATGAATACCTCAGTACAACTGCAAACTAAACCACATCTATGAAAGTGAAACTAACTAGCAGTAAAAGCAGTTAATAAAGGATTATTCATGCACACACAGCACACGATAAACTAACGAATGAATTACGCTCTAATGAATGAAGTGCACTTTCTCCTGAACGTGCAATGTGCAGAAGGGACTGGAGTTAAAACCAAACCAGACTGGCCTGGAGCTTTTTTTCCACCAGTGCAGCAATACATGCAAATAATACTGAAGGAAGAGCAAAGTAGAGCATGTTTACCACACGCTGCATAATGAACATGTGCCCTTCTCAGAAATGAATGCAGTACGACTTGCATATTAATGTGCCATGTAAAAGTTAATTCACAAATATTAATACAGCCTTCACTGTATTGATACGTGTATCACCACAGGCTTATCCATGATATATTGCCATATCGAAGTGTGACATTACTTGTCATTACATTTGACACTTTTAAGTAAATTTAATATTACATTTTTTTACTTTATTGATCTGATGCTACATTTTTGCTCCAGGAAAGCCAGAAAGTTCTCACTGCTTTAATATCCTGGAGACCTCTAAAACAGAAATTTATAATTCATAATCAAATTTAAATTTTATAAGGCAGTAGTAACCTACAGATTGCATATTAATGCCTGAAATATGACTGTTATATACAACCTAATGTCTACACATAGGGGTAAGACCAAAAGTGCTCAATGAGGGGAGCCAGGTCTAGTTTCTGGACAAATTACACAATGAATTGTGATTGTTATATACAAAGTCTTTCACCACTATTAAACATACCAACTAGGGCCCACATATTTCTGCTTAAAGTACCCCTGAAATTATAAATTAAAACACAAAAAATATGTTAAATAATAAAGTGTTATATATTTTTCTATAAATAAAATGATAAATGATAAATAAAATGATATTTTTATGTATTGTTATGACCAAGAAACTGTTAAGAATGGCACAGCAGCGTCCCTAAACCTCAACACTCATTAAGAATGCAAAAGATCAAGGAATGTGCTCAATTATGCAAATTGTAAATGCAACCTTACTGCCCTGTTTATAAACCCTGACCCTTCCCCCCTCTACCTTGCACAGTATCTCTACTTGTTACAGACTGAACAGATGAGATGGAGTGCAGCAGAAGGGTCATTCTACAGAAACGTCCACTTTTTTATCTATCCATAGAAGTCACTGGTGTTACTGATCGTCATTGGTGTTATGCATAAGAAAGGTAACACCAGGGACAGTAACACTAGTGACATTTTTAATCAAAAAGGCATTTTACAAAATGACGGCTACAGAGCATCAAACCGCGCTGTCAATCATGGAATATCCACTAAAATATATATTTTAATCCATTTGTATTCTATTTTTTCACAATTACCTAAGAATAATGTTGGTCATACCAGTGATTTCAGCTAAAAGCTTCACATGAAATCAAGAGCTAAATGAGAAAATTTCTGATAACTGATAAGACACCGTGGACTTACCATGTGCTTTTCTTCATGGATCTTCAGAAAATAAGTGGAAGGAAGTGATGTCATCAGTGTGATTTTTATTTCAAAATAAGAGATTTTTTGTTATGCAGTAACACCAGTGACACGACTCCTGGGGACAACTTTCATTATATCTTTTATAATATTTATTCGCCATTTGTTTCCTTTATGTCATTTAAATCATATATTTGATAGGCATGTGTAGATTACTGCAGTTAAAATTGCAGAAAAACATGTTTTATACCTGTTTTATATGGCACTCACCTTTTACACATGACTGGGCGAAGGAGCACTTCTGTGGTGCTTGGAATTCTATATAATTGACTTAAAAACCAATATCGCTAAATTGATGGCTCAAGAAGGTGTAATTGTTAAAATAACTTATTGTTTCATTTTAAAATATAAATAAATTGTATCCCTAACATGTTTTTCAAGTGTAATATATCTGTAAACGCTAGGGACACAAAATGGATGTATCCATAGAATGACCCAGAAACAAAAATAAGCCTCCAATGTAATATGAATAATCAGAAAGCTTCTGTGTTTCAGTCACTCCAGCACCGGTCACTCAATTTCATTAGCTCAGATTTGAGTCTTTATTCTCTAAACTTGCCTCAATGCATTATCAGTGAGCCATGATGTCTGGTTTAGCCTTCTTCCTAATTATTAGCCTCTGGTGCTAACAAGGATGTAAATTAAAAACAGCTTACCCACATTTACTTACACAGATTTACCCGCTCAGAGTCTTTATTCTCTAAACTTTGCATTAATGAAGCTTCAGGAAGCTGAAATGAACCTGTGCTGTGGTGAAACTGTAGCATGCTAGGCTACTGTAGTAGCACGTTACCCCCTACTAGAACAGTGCCTGGCATTATGAGGCATCATGTCATGTCACTACTGAAACACAAAGAGTTTAGTCCATAGGCAGAGCCTTATTTTAGCCATACCCCTGCATTTTAGAGCAGGAAGTGAGAGCAGTTAGATCCCACTGTTTTGAAGTAAATGTATCCCAAAGTCTGAAAATCAGTGTGTAATGTTAAGAATTGTCACTACCAAAACACATATTGTCCACAATTAAGTAAACTTTTTTGTGTTTCAGTGAAAAATGTTATAACTGTATGTGTGTACAACTGTTCAAAACTGTCATCTACTGGCTAGCATTTTTGAGTTCTGCTCAAATTTAGCTAAAATTGCCACTACCAAAACAGTCACTACTGTCACTACTTTGGTAAAGTTTTGGTAGTGTTATGATTGTTTTGGTACTGACAAAATCTAATGTTCAAATGTTTATTTTAATAAAATAAACATAATTAAGGTATAAGGTCATTCAAAGCAAAAGATTTTAATCTAAAATCCAAGTAAGTTAAAAGTCCAAAATGTGTTTTCAACTCTCACTTTGAACCAGTTCGGTGGACCGTGATAAGTTCAGGCCCATTCACGATGTACAAAACTAAGCTGCTATGCATTTTTCTGGTTTACTTGGAAAGCCAGTGTCTTCAATGGAAAATTTTGAACTCTGTAGGTACATCCAAGAGGGTTTAAACACATATTTGAGTGCAGGGGTTTTTAAATCTACATTTCATTGTCACATTTTAGTATTCAATATGTGTTGTTGTGCTCTCTTTAGGTTATCCCATAAGTGCCCCACTCTGCGAAGAAATCCCTAATAACCAAGGACAATGTGCAGGTGAACTTCACTTCTTACTACCACTCAAACCATTGAAAGTGGTGTAAAGGAAATTGGAGGCAAACTTGCTGATGTCATTAGTAGTCTAAATCTCACCTCATCATACTTCTGTGGCACTCTTCAGCTGTTAACAATTTTGTATTTTTGTCTTGTCAGTTATATTTCGTCATTTTAAAAGGGTTAGGGTTCATTTCTGTAAGCATTTGTTTCTGTTCGCAAGTTCAAAATGTGCCAATGGCAATGCATCCAGTTCCAGTGAATACTAGTGAGGCACAATTCTGGTTTGTTACAAAAGGAGTGAGAAACTTTAAATCATACCCATCAGTATGAAACATCGTCTACTACATTATTTTTTGAAAATGGACAAAATCTGTTTTAGTAGCAGTTGTATCGTGTAATCTCAGAGGAAAAAAGTAATTACACAAATCATGTCTGAATGTTCTCGTCTTTCTTGCTGTTTTTCATTTCAAGGAAGAAACAGCAATTACATTGTTCATGTTCAACAAAATCAAAGTATATTTTGCTGGCGCTGCACTCCCCCAACTCCAAGTCCATCCAGTTCATCACCTGGCAAGAGAAGCATTTCGGAAGCAGTGTAAGTAGGCTATTGTTGTTGTTGCAACTACTTATTAGATTAGCTTATTAGAGTTTAGCACATTGCTATAACCCAGAAGCTGAATTATAAGAACAACAAGAGAATTTATTAAATATTTAAAAAGTTTTATAGATGTTGTCTTCTTCCAAAGCTTATCTAAAAAAAAGAATTAAAGCTGCTTTTAAATTTGCAGACAGACCATGGAAAACCTCAAATTACTTGTGAGATCAATGAATACAAGCAGTTTACCAATTACAGTAGGAAAGGCTACAGGCCTTATTCAAAAACAAGACAAAGATACAAATGTCAACATAGGATATACCCAAAATCAGAAGATGGAGGTAAGGACTCTGACACACACAGGCATGCAAACACACACACACGCACACACATACACACACACACACACACACACACACACACACACACACACATTTTTTCATGTAAATCATAAAATGGGAAACAAAGCAATTTTGAATGTTCCTTATTTTTGTCTTTCACATCAAGTTAGATTTTTAGGGGCAGATTTATTAAGAGAGGGGTTACTTGCTGACAGTCTACCGACACTTTGTGCTGGTGGAGGTGGCCAATTTAGAAGGTTATCTACCAAGAACTTCCAAATGAACACATGCACAATATTGTAATTAACATTTGAGCAGTGCAATATAACCAAGTTTTTTGCTTTTTTTATGAAAGCCTGTTTTTCTGTCAAGTAGAGGAAAAAAAGACTTTTAACTGTCTGTTTCAGACTCAAACTGTCACAAAATAATGAGTTGCTTTTTTAGTAAGTCAAAATAATAACAAAGTAAAACTTTGTTGAGAAAGTATGTGATTACTTCAACATAAATTCATAAGTAAAAAAGTTCGACAAAACATATGACATCATTTCCACATGAAATGTGAAATTGCATGATATGAACGTAAACTCTTACCTATGTGCAGTACATCACAGAATGGCAGTTAGATTTCTGCCATGTGCACACATAAACCACAGTGGACAGAAGCCACAGCGCAGGAGTCAAAGAGTTGTAATATGTGTTTTTGACAATAATGTGTAAATGTATAAGGAAATGATAAGTTCAAAACATTATTTTTCTAAACCAGTTTATTTTTTTATTTTCTCCATTATCTTAAGAATTTATGTGACATGACAGATGTTTACAAGTTTTTATTATGATCAAAGATAAATAAACATGAAAAATTCTCTCTTTTCTCTGAGAGCACTGCGGCATCCATGTTAACACCAAAAATAAGACTTTTCTCTGGCTTTAAATAACACACAGTCAGTATTTACCATCAATCTCTGTAAACTGGATTACGTGCTTAATTATAATAATCTAGTTCCAGTATTTCATGCTTTGAGAAGGAAACTCTTATAAATACACACAGTGAGGCAAAAGCACAAAAGAGCAGCGACTGCCTGGTTGAACTTTTCATTAAGACACTTTTAACACCAAAATGCAGTTTGCGAAGGCAAAATGTCCGTAAATCTGTCAACAATTTTTAGACTTCAGGTCCATCACCCACCCAACGTTTGGTATTTTGTCTTAATGCTCCAAAGAGTGGTAAGAAATATTATACTGACATATCTTAAGATGGACACTGAGCCTCATTTACCAACTGTTCTTAAGAAATTCATCTTAAAACCCACTTAAGCCGGGGTTACACTACATGACTCTTACCCTGATTTTAGCCCTGATTCTCAGTCTGTGCTAGTTGGCTTTAGTCTGCAGATTTTGGGGCCAGTCAGAGTTGACAGTTGGAGAGAAAATTGAGTAGTGGGAAAGGGGTACAGATTCAGATTTTTTGACCTCCTGATTGCATTTCAGACCAGTCAGAGTATATCAGATATGTTTGATTTTTTTCGCCCCAATCTAGTAGTGTATTTGAGCATAATCTAGTACTGTATTCTGGTCAACGACTCAATGTTTACAGACTCCTGTAACAGGCAATGAAAACTGAGGGCAGGAAAAAAAAAAAATACAGCAAGTAAAAAAAGAGAAATGCCAATAAATCACACACGTGGAGCGAAGCTTTTCCATGAGCTGAATTTAAGGCATGAGCACAGTCGAGTATGTGCATTTAAAACTCTTAAAAATTAAACACTACCAGTGCAACAAGTCACGTAAGTTCAGTGTGTTCTGTTCATTTGAGCAACAGCTTAGCAGAGGTGTGGACTCGAGTCATATGACTTGGACTCGAGTCCAACTTGAGTCACAAATTTGATTACTTTGATGACTCGACTCGAGAAAATCGAGCAAGACTTGCGACTCGACTTTGACTTGAACACCAGTGACTCAAATTTTGACTCAGACTTCAGCCTCAGGGCTCGGAAAGACTTGAGACACAAAGTAGAAGAAATGTGAGCTATTTTATATTTATATTCTAATCCTGTGTGCCCAGTGTTCCCAAAAATCACCAAAATTATCTTCAAATATAAAGTGTTTTAAAATTAAGTTCTGTGGTATTTTTAAAACTCTTTTCATGTGTAGTTCACTACTCTTTGTGTGTACCAGTATGTCTGTTTCCCACTCAAAAGGATGGTTCTTCAAAGGTTCTAAAATGGTTCTAAAAAGAACCATGAACACTCAAAAACCTTTTGCATTATTAAAGGGTTCTTTGCATCATGAAATGGTTCTTCAGATTGATGAAAGATGTTCCATAGTTGGTTCTATATTGAACCTTTTTGAAAAGGGTTCCATAGAGCACCCAAAAGGGTTCTCCTATTGTTACAAGCTTGGCATCATAACAATAGAAGAACGCTTTTGGGTGCTATATAGAACCCTTTTTATAAAGGTTCTATATAGAACCATCTACAGCACATTCTGAAGAACGCTTTCTTTTTAGAACCATCCTTTTTAAGAGTGTGGTTATCTGTGTACCATTTTGTTGGAAGTGTTTTGCCTTTAAATTAGCTAAGGAATGCAGACTGACTTGTTTAGGACTCGAAGATTAGGACTATTGACTTGGGACTCAACTTGAGACTCGCCTGTACTGACTTGGGACTCGAATCGAGACTTGACTATCTTGACTTGGGACTTGACTCAGGACTTGAGTGTCAAGACTTGAGACTTACTTGTTACTTGCAACTTAGTGACTTGTTCCCACCTCTGCAGCTGAGTGAGTTGAGTAGTGTGTGACTGTCACTACCCGATATGACGGAAACGTGAATTGGACTACATATGCGCAGCACAGGAATGTAATTTCCGATGTTGTTTTACAGCGTTCCGGTAGTCCAAATCAGGTTGGCTGACATACACTTTTGCACATGCGTAGTCCAAATCGAGTTTCTGGTTCAAATCGGGTAGTGACAGTGATCCCTAATCGTTTAGTGTGTGATCCCCAATATTACAGTCACCAGAAAAAATCTGCGAAAACCAGTCAGATAGTGTGAGATGACCAGTCTTTTTATGATCTGTTAAGACTTTAAAAGTTATGTGGTCTAGCCAAGGCTTTACACAGCTTTCATGAAGATTCTGACATTCACCAATGTTTTCTTATTTGGGATTTGTTCTTTGTTCTCACCAGCACCCTAACATACAGAGAAAGAGTAAATACGTACATACCAACACAAATACATACATTCATAGACTTTTAAAAAAAAAAAATCTAACCTGTTTTTTTCACATTCCTACCTCCACAGACTGTGAATGACACTTTGCAGGAGACAGAATTGCTATGGTCTGTAAAAATTCCAGTGGAAGCGCTTAATATGGCACGTTCCGCGTTTAATGGAACACCGTTTGTAGGAGTTGTGCTGTTTCCTGACCTTGATACGGTATTACTGAAAAAAATCAATAGTCTACTTATTTTTGATGTGATTTTTTGTATGAGATGTGCCGTAGGATACTTGCTATTTGGCTTAATATTGAAAAACGCAGATATTAAAAACCTGTTTTGTGTCATTATTGTTTGATTACAAGAGTGGTGTGAGTGTTTTGAAAGATGAGATTTTTGGAATATCAATGGGCGTCAATATCACAAATCTCACTGCCACCATAGACATCTACTTCAGGCTTCAGGAAAAGGTAAGACAAGGTTTCACTGAAGTATAGAAAGTAGAATAGCCAATTTTATTTATTTCCAAGCATTTACAATGTCTATTATCATTTACACAGAATAACAGTATTATGACGTGCAATTCTTGGGATGGTACAGGTAATTATTAAAATTACAATACAAAAATTATTGTAAATATAATTTAAAAAAATCAAAAACACTAACATTAAAAGAGTTCATGTTTCTCTAAAGAATATGATGAAAAAAAGAAACCCAAATGGACCACATCTGGCTGTGTCACAAACATTACCGGCAAGACGATAAAATGCAGTTGCACTCACCTGACCTTCTTTGCAATATTGATGGTAAGAAACTCCTCATACTGTTTCTACATGAACATGCAAGAGCAAGTCCTTTGTATTGTCATCCCTACATTAAAAGTTGAATTTAAAATTATGTCATTATTTTGTAATAACAACATTTTTGTAATTGTCAGTTTACTTCCAAAAAGATATTTTTAGATTACTATTATGCTAAATGTTGTCTAATTATAAATGTTTATTTAATAAAGTGATTCACTTCAAATGTGATTATATGCATTATAGTACTAAAACACTTTAAGCTTACAAGTTTATTCTAGTATTCTTTAGTTTTCTAGCTTTTATCTGCATGTGACTTTTTAATCAAAACAAATGAATTTGGAGCTAAGCCTCTGTTTAAACCAGGCCTGGATCTTCCCATTGGATTTATGGGCATGTGCCAAGTAGGCCCAAGCCACTAGAGGCCCCTACGAGCTAATATGAGAAAATTTAAACAGCTATTTTGACTCGCAGTGGGAACTTTACTAGCCGCACAGAGAGAAAGTGGACTAATCACTGCTTAGCAACATTTCACTATCCATCATTACCTCAGTCACACTTTCAGGTTGTAACGTTCCTTTGAATGTACTTTGAATTTTCAATTCAAAACGTGCCTGGAAGATCTGTAAAAGTGAGACCTGATACTTCAACAGAGTAGCAGACCCTCACCACAAAGCCCAAATATACAATGTTACCCACTTGAATAAAAACAAAAAAAAGTGTGTCAGTAGTGATCTGCAAAGTTTTATGTGATGTTAATGGGAAAAAGCAGTATGCTTTAGCTGAGGCTTCCTGGTTTGGGATTTTTAGTTTGGTGCCTTTTTCATCTTTATTATTGACATTTTGGCTGTGCAGTTGTAATTTATTTAATTTATGGTTTTAATTAATGATAATGCCATCATGCCAGCACTGTGGTTAGTATACTGCAATTATGGTGCTGCATAAGCCTCTTGGAACCTGCTATGATATCATCCAAAAATATGGAGCTTCTAAGGGCCGTAGTTAAAAACCGGTAATGACATTGCATTCCCATGCAATTGTTTTGCATTACCTTGCAATAATTTTGCATTCCCTTATAATGACTTTGCATTCCCCTGTACATGCAAGGGAATATATCTGCAGTATTTTTCACAGTGATACTTTAGGGGTTCAGTAATAAAGATAAAAAATGAAAGGGGCCCAACAAAATTTGATAACTTGATGATCCGGGCCTGGTTTAAATATACATGTGTATATATATATATATATATATATATATATATATATATATATACACACACACACACACACACACACACCAGCCTCAAGGTTTAAAATTTCTCTTGTTTGGCCTAAATCCACTGCTTTCTTCACTCTCTTAGGCACCACCAGACCAAACCATTTCAAGTGAAGATGTAACATCACTAACCTATATCACCAGCATTGGTTGTGGCTTGTCCACATTTTTCCTTCTCGTAGGCCTGTTCATTCACTTTGTGATGTGGTAAAATAATTTTAGACAGTCATATCATCTTATTCAGACTGATTCACTTTAAAAATTAGTCAAGAAAATACATTAAAGTGACAACATACAGTTGTATGGCACCACTGGCCAAATTACATATATTACTGATTTTTGAAATAAAAAAATAAGTAAACACAACCACTGCAGCAAAAATAAAACAAAAATACAATAAAAAATTCTGCAAATGTTAAGTTTAACTTAACTAACTTGAAAAAAATAGTAATTGTGGCTAGTGCAGCTGTTTGGACACTGACACCCTGCTAAGTCAAAACTTGTTAACACCCGCTTCTGGCAGATATCACAAAATTTAAATGCTTCTTGTAGCCAGGAGTCTTTTTATTCATGTTTTAGGAATTTTCACCCACTCTTTTTTCCAAAATGCTTCTAGTTTTGTAATATGCATGGGACATCTATCTTTAATTTATCTACAGATTGTTGTTCAAGTCAGGGGACTGTGAGGGCCATTCCAAAAGCTTCAGCTTGTGTTTTTTGAAGTACTTCATAGAGGATTTTAAATTATGTTTTGGATCGTTATCATGTTGTAGGATCCAGCTTCTTTTCAGCTTCAGTTTCTTGACAGAGTGGGTCACATTTGCTTCATAATAGATCCACTTCCATGCTTAACAGTTGGCGAGGTGTTCTTTTCATTAAATGCAGCTCCTTTTTTTCTACAAACAAACCTTTGGTGGCCAGAGAGTTCCATTTTTACTTCATCAAACCACAGCACTTGCTCCTAAAATGCTTATGTAGATTTTGCTTTGCCTGCTTCAGACATTGATTTTGTGATGAGGTCTTAGATGAAGTTTCCTTCTGATGACTTTTCCATGCAGATCATGTTTGTGCAATCAACTCTGCAGAGTAAAACTGATCACCACCACTCCTGTGTCAGCTAAAGCTTTCTGTAGGTTCTTTGCTGTCATATGGGAGTTTTGCTTTGCCTTTCTGGCCAGAATATGAGCAGTTCAGTCTGAGAATTTTCTTCATCTTCCATATTTTGCCATGACTTTCGAAAGTCCCCTTACCTGTCATTTCTTAATGACATTTTGGACAGTGGATATTGTGAACTGGAGGCACTTTGACATATTTTTATAGCCGTCTCTTGCTTTGCAGACATCAGTTAACTTCGTTTTTTGATTCTTAGCTACATGCTTAGAGGAGTAAGCACAAGGTTGTCATCAGCTTACAATTTTCATTTTTTACAATTTCAAGACATTTCTTGACCCGCCTAACCAGTCCAAATTAATAAAATACTAATTAAAATAAACTTAAATAGGTTTGAGACATTGTAACTGGAAGGGTGTTCAAGCTTTTGAACATGCTGTAATTACTATTTTTTAAAATGCATTTCATTGCTGAAAAATGTTACTTTTTGAAATAGTTTGCTTTTCACTTCAAAAATGAACAAAATATGTCATTTGGCTGGGGTTTTGCATACAACTGGATAAACATATAAGTGCAAATACTGTGCAGTGAGTAACTTTATGTCCTGTTTTTCTCATAATAACCAAAATAAAATGTCTTTATTTCTTTAGGCGTTCCAAATCCAGGCTAGGCACAACAATCCTGATGCATCTGTTTGTGGCATTGTGCCTTCTAAACATAACCTTCTTGTCCAACCAGCAAGTAACAAACACAAATAACAACGCGGCCTGCATCATCATAGCAGCAGTTATGCACTTCTCCATGCTGGCCACGTTCTCTTGGTTTTTCATTCAGGGACTTCACTTCTACCTGAGCCTCAATGCAGTCAACATGAGGACCAGAAAGTACAAACTAGCATTCATTGCCTTGGGATGGGGTGAGTGTTCAAAATATTGTTTTTCATTCATTCATTCATTCATTACACATTTTAAATGGAAGCAATGTATTGACATACAGTACTGTGCAAAAGTCAGAGGCCACTCTTTCATTTATGTAATTTCTAGTGCTTGTACGTAATGGCCGTTTTCACTGAAATATTATTATATATTAGTCAAATACAAACAAACTGGGGTAACTGTAAATACTTAAGTAAATACTTAAATGTAAATAAGAGCTTTGGAAATGGATAAGTTAACACACTGACACAAATAAATCACAATTATTGATTATTTGTTTGTTTGTATTTGTTTAAATGTCAGTGGTTTCTACTAGCAAGTAAATGCTAACGCTGTACTGCAAATGACTTTTCTCAGATGGACTAAGACTTTTGCACAGTATTGTATACAGTCAGGTCCATAAATATTTGGATGTTTACACATTTATTGTTATTTTTGCTGTCTGTCAAAGTGTATTGGAGTGATAGGACAGACTAACATAAATGAAATCATTATTTTTAATACTCTTGTAAATCCTTTGCAGTCAATGACTGCTTGAAGTCTGGAACCCATAGGCATCACCAGACAGTGGGTTTCTTTCCTGGTGATGATCAGTCAAGTGCTTACTGTAGCAGTCTTCAGTTCCTGCTTGTTTTTGAGGCATTTTACCTTAGTTTTGCTTTCAGTAAATGAAATGCATGTTCGATTGGATGCAGGCCAGTGGCTTGGCCATTGAAAAACATTCCACTTCTTTGCCTTGTCCAGTGCACTGTCCAGTGGGCTTTGAAGCATTTGGCTGAATCTGAGCAGATAATAAAACTCTATACATAAGAATTCATCCCTCTGCTTTTGTCAGAAGTCACATCAGTAAATACAAGAGAACTTGTTCCATAGGTTGTTTGCAGTCACGTGATTCCGATGGCACGCAAAATCCAGATGGAGGGTAGGAAGTGAAATGCAGTATGGATGAGATGGAGGAAAGTCTGTACTGTGTTAGTTTAGATGAGAAACATATAAAAGAAAATCACAGCATACGTTGGACGTAATCCTTTATGAAGAGGTACGATTTTTCACTGAATTGAAGACTTGCCTGTTACCAAGGCAGTAGGTATGAGCAGCTACCTTGTCCTCCAGACATCTTTCTACTTAAGAAAATGAATGAAAACACACAAAAGTATAGAGGCATGCAACTCCATGAGGCTGAAGTTGGCTTCCTATTCTAATTGTCCCATTTCACTTTAAATGGTGCAGCAGTTATTATTATAATAAAGGTGGAACGGGAATATTTAAAGTTTTTTATTTATTTACATTCGCTTGATTTTTGTGTAACTCTTAATCCCACTTTAAGTGTTGGTGTTGTTGCTTATAGTTGTTGTTCTAAATCTATCACCAAGGCACACCCACAGATGAACTGTGTAAAATACAATACTCTGCGCTTTGTGACTGCAGACGAAGATTTGCAAGTCATTTTGCAGCCATTTTACGGTCAATTTCTAGCAATTTTTTTCCCTCATGAACATCAGCATTTGGTACATAATAAAAGCCCATTGTGGTTTCTTTGTTAGATCGACTTGAGCAACCGTGAATGACACAAACCATGGGCATTTTAAGAGCTTGTGACAGAGCTTCCTGTGTAGAAAATCACTTTGCCTTCCATCTGCAGTTCATGCCACAGCAACGCAGTGAAGTGACATCATTTGCAAACAACTTATTGGAAGCCATACATGCGCACACCATAATACTATCTCCACCATGCTTCACAGATGAGGTGGTGTGCTTTGGATCATAAGCAGTTCCAGGGCATTTTAGGCGGAAGTACTATATTATCTTGGGGAGTATCAGGCATGTAATATCAGTTGAGGCTGTAGCACCTGAGTTGATTGAAAAGATGTGTAGCGATAGCATTGGTAACCTGTTTTCTAGTTAGCATACCTGATCTTGGTCTATCCTTTTGCATCTCAGCCTTTAATGATTAGGGATTACTCAAAATAACTGAATGTATCTAAATTTGTTTCTTTTCAGGATTTCCAGCTTTGGTTGTCATTGTGATTGCAGCTTTTGGGAACTACACATATCTGACTAATGTACAAATGTAAGCTATTATCTGAAACAATCCAAAGCTACAGTTGCATATCTCAGCAACAAAATATCAAAAGGACTCAAATTCCTAAAACCCCAATATTTCTCTTTTAAATTCCCAGGTGCTGGAACAGAAATATATACATTCATTATATAGTGAATGTTGGCTACTATGCACTGGTTTTCATCTTCACATTAATAATCTTTATTATGATCGTCCGAAAGATTACTCAAGCAAGATTTATGAAAAATAACGCTGTCAAAGCAGCATCAAAAAAAATTGCAGCGATCTTTAGTCTTACTGTTCTGCTGGGCCTGACTTGGGGTGTGGCCTTCTTCAGCTATGGAGCTATGGCTATTGCATCTTACTACATCTTCAGCATCCTTAATTCTTTCCAAGGTAGGTGGCACTTGCTCCATTTGTACAGGCCTCAACTCTGAATCTGCACGGAGAATATGAAATTTGATCACATGATCTCATCTTCATGACGCTTGAGAACTGTTCTGATTTGCAGTCTGTATTCAAAAACATAGAAAAATTTCTATAATAAAATAGACTGTTCTTGTCCTAAAATCTGACTGGCTGTGCTGTCCTCAAAGCCCTTGTATAATACTCAATGTACATACACCTATAATGGTCTCAAACGACAGCTGAAGTCTGTATTACTGTGACAAGTCATGAAAAATCTTTGTGCTGTTATCGGAACAATCTTTGACTGTGGTGGTGATTTTGTGAGCCAAGACTTATAAAGCAAAGGTTTTCGTATGAAACAGTGCTGTATTATGATATGTTCAATGTTTTATGACAAAATTTCATAAATTTACCATGATAAACAGTGATGGGTGACTGAACGCTCTTGTCCTCTTTCAGCAGTCCATGGTTGCTTGGTAACAATAGCATACTCTAAACTGTAGAGATTATTATTAGCATGATTAATAAAAGCAATAAGCCACTTAAAGCCATGTATTAGAGTGATTTATCATCAGTTTTAGGCACTCTACTTTATGTTGTGCCTAGTAACGGGCTGCATGGCCTGTCTTGTTGCTTTGTTGCTTTATTATTGGACAGAATCCCTAGTTTTCCAATAGCAGACCTATACAGGGAGTAATAATGGAGAAATAAACAAAAGCATGCATTGCACCATAAGTTTAAAATTTTGCACCCTTAGTTGAGCTTTGAGATAGATGCATCTAGACAGCCTGCCTAAGATCAGTGCTGTAGCATGCAGGTAACATTGTACGGCTCTGGTAGTGTAGTAGGAAGACGAATTGATCTGTTTATTCGTCTGATTAAACCTGTAACATTCATACATGACCGCGGCAAATTGTAATTTGTGCTGCAGTAAGCATCTTCTGCGGCTAGCATACAGGATGTGTGCTAATATTGGGTAAATGAATCAAACATAGCTAGCAAGCAGGTTTACTATCATGGATATACAAGTAGCAAATACAAGTAGTATTTGAATGTCCCAAAGAAAAATCATATTACTATATTGTATTCCTGAGAAAGGCATCATTGTTCCATAGCACTCCTGGTCCTTTTTTGCTTGTGCTCCACAAATTAGCAATGAAAGCCTGGGATATTACTGAAGTTCAGGGATTTTTTAAATTTATCGTTATATAATCATGAACAAACACCAGCTGTGCATTTCACAATATTTGTTTGAATAACCATGCCTAGTGTGTACCTCCCCTTTTTATTTCTGATGCAACTTCATTGATTTTAAAGGCCATGTTAAGAGTACACCATACAAAAAGACTTGTTTAATTCAAAAAAGTAATACTAATAGAAAATTAACATTAATCTGTTTTACATTCTGTTTACTTATTATAAGTAAGTTCAACAAACTCATAATTTTAGCCAGGTTACTGACTTTTTAAAGTTAAAACACTAAATCACTTTTTACAGTGTATAGCGCCAGATTATATATATTAACAGTTGGAGCTATATTGCACAGGAAAGCAAAATACATAAAAGTTTTTAAACATCAAATGCAATCAAAATTACATAAAAAAGAACATATATAACAAAAAGTTGTAAAACTTCACTGGTGTTTATCATATTGATCTATGAAGAATTATTTATTTAATTACAACTTCCTTTTCTCAGGTTTCTTCCTGTTTCTCTACTACTACTACTTTCGAAATGATGACCTAGAGCTCAATCAATCTGCATCCAGCACAGCTCTATCTTTGCAAAAACCGACCAACGTTAGTTCCACAATGACGTCAGAACCTGAAACTGAGACGGAATACAACTAGGATGCGTCTGACTGGTGACTCCCACCTCATGAAAATGACGGACAAAACCAAAAACTAAAAATAAAACACAGGCACACACACATAAGTGGTGTTTTCTGCAACAAATAGGTAATTTTTTGAGCTTCAAAAATACTTAATGAGTGGCACAATCTGGGACAGCATGTGTTTAACAAAGTATGCTGGCATTATATTCACTACTGAAATAGACTAGTTTCTGTAGTTACAACTGTGGTCAGGCTAACATGCAGAATACTGCACACTTCAGAATGACTTTATTCTAAATAAAGATTTTGCATGGATTATTTATACAGTATGTAAAGTTAAATATGGGGTTTATTCAGTTTCAGCATCTAATATTTTATTGCAGCAGGATCATTAAGGTAATTATTAGGTAGTCATAAGGTAATTATTAATGTAATCTAATTTATAAGAACTTGTTTTCTAATTTTGTATTTTAGTTTGCAGGATTTAACAACAGCTGTTGAGGATAACAGAGACAGTGATCTATGAATGCAGTAGTATATGTACTATCTACATTTGTAATATTAGTTTGTTCAGCCCTTACAGAAAAGTCACATATATTTCTCCTGTCTAAAAACCAAGTAAACACACGTGAATGGTGTGTGATCACATGTGACATAAATTTTTTTCCACATGAATATTTTTTCACATAGAATCAGATGGTTTCACATGATCACATGCTTTTTCACATGTGATCATGTTGTCACATGTGATCACAGAATTCTTTCACGTGAACACATTTTTTCATGGGAATCATATTGTCTCCCATGTGATCCCCCTTTTTTTTACGCGAACACATTTTCAAATTTTTCCATGTGATGATGTTTTTTTTTCCACATGTGAACATGTGTTTGTATTATCATATGTTTCTTTTACATGTGAACATGTTTTCACAAGTGACACTCTTTTTTGCATGCAATTACACATGAAGTGTGCAAAAACCACGTGTTTGTTCACAGGTGAAATTCATGTCTTTTGTCTGTAAGGCACAAGCAGCACAAGAGGGCAGTGTGAGCTTTCTGTAAAAAAGTAATAAACTGTGCTGATGACTAAAGACCCACAGTCTGTATACGCTGCTGAAATTACAGTTTTTGGAGCACTGCCAGAGAAGAAACACATTTGGTTCCTTGGATTATCAGACACTGAAAGATTCTTAAATGAACCAAAAGCGGTTCTTCCAAGGCTTCGCTCCGAAAAACCCTTTGGCACATTTATTTTTAACAATGTAAGCAGGGGGTTCACTATATACTCATAATTGTGCTGTAAATACATCATTTCTGTAAATACTTAGCATTCATGACTACTGTCTCACATTTCAAGCAACTAGTCTCACTCATGACTAATCAGTTACAATCCACAACACAGCCATGATTCATAGTGACAAATAAGCCCTTTCTATCCAAGCAGTGCTAAATGAGTAATGCATTACTGTCAACACATTACCATGTGGTTTCAACCTGCAGCCTCTGCTTTATTATAATTTCCTGCTCATGTTCATTAAAGACATACGCTACATGGCCCTAATCTCTCTCACGTACACTCATTCTGTAACACATACCACACTTTCCACGGAGATAGAGGGGCCAGAGCGCTTGCGTGTCCACAAGTAATTGCCCCCAGAGTCAGCTGAGGGTCATGCCTACAGGCAGTGTGTCTTAACAGGCTCCTTAGAAGATGATCTCATGGCTACCTGTGGTGCTGCGATGCCTGAGGGAAATCCCCCAAAACTGCGCTCCTTTCCCAAACATCCAGTCAAAGAAGGCCAGCAGCAGATAACAGACTCTAAGTGTCAAGACAGAATGATTAGAAATGATAATACTATGCATATTTGAAATGTTAGACCACCCTTTCTAATATTATGTTTTTTGTGCTATTAAATATGTAAAAATACATAACACAAATACATAATAATATTTTTTGTTTTAAACTGTTGTGAAATACGTAATATCTATATATGTATATATATATATGTATATATATATATATATATATATATATATATATATATATATATATATAGTGTGTGTGTGTAACTCATATATGTTCTACAAATAAAATGTCTAAGCGTTCTTTCACACCTATCTCGTGTGGTGCAGACCTAGCAAACTTTTTCTTTAGTTTGATCTATTTTGACTGGTGTAAATATTCCATCTGTACTTGGGTGCGCTCTTAATAAATAAAGAGTGGTCCAGCAAAAATCCAATTAAACCCTGGTTCATTTCACTGCTGGTGGGAAGGCATTTTGGTGATTGTCTGCACTGAACGAGGGAATTCAACATCACACCATGATTTTCTGCTTCTTCTAGAAGCACATTAGCACTATACTGTCCACACAATCTGCCTGTTTTAACATCTGACTCGACAGACACTTATATTGTTCCTCACATTAACTGCTGCTGATAACAGCAGATGAGTAATAAAATAATAGTGAAGAAATGTGTGTGATTTTGGCACATGGATTGCAAAACATATTGCATCAGTGACCTGATTGGTTACATTCAAACTGACAAACCAAACATAAAGAAGTAGACATTAAGTAAGGTTTATTATCATTGATAAGTAATATGACAGTGATATGTGAGTATTTTAATGCAAAGTGAGAGTTTTTGCTTAAATGGTGACAAATGTGAGCCTTTGTATCTCTGCCCAAACAGAGCACTTATATCCCTGCAAAATTTCTGACCAATAAACAAGCACTCACATATAATTTGGTGTACTTCAGCTGTTGTAGCGTGAAATCAACCAAAACAAATGACAAATATACAATGTCACAAAAAGCCGCACTCTGATTTAGACTTCAGCAAGTAAACTAGGTGTGAAAACAGCCAAAGATCGAGTAAAATAGTTTAAACCTGAAAATGTGTATTGTTACATGCTTAGGGGAAGGAAATTGTCCATGGCTGATGGCAGTCATGTTTAGTGACAGGCTTTTAATATGAGCTAGGAAAAGCTAGTAAGGGTCTCAGTTCATGGACGTTATGGATATACTCATGACTGACACAAATATAAATATACTTGGTGGGGGGTGGGGTTAAGAAAGCTGAAACAGAGCTCAGTAATGACATGGGAAGAATCCTTGGCACTGATTTCATTATGACTAAACACATTGTGGTTTCTGTTCCAGCCATGAACATGCTGTGTCTAAATACAATTTTATGCTACGATTGGTAAGGGGGTGCTTACCTCAGACTGGTTCAGTTGACAGATTCATCCGCTTGCCGAATGCCTGCTCACGCAACCTTTTAAAACATGAGAAATATGCTCTCAGTTAAAGCAGCACTATGTAAGATATTTTGATTAAAATAGAAAGACGTAGCATTACTCAAGTCAAGATATAGAGAATATAGAACATATACTGTGCCTGCACTGCTGCAAGTCATCTTGTGAAGCCTGAAACAATAATGTAAAAGTCAAGTTTTGTGTCCGGTTCTCCAGGAGTTTTTACAGCACATCATAAGTCTTTATGCATTAACATTACAAGAGCAGAGTCGAACAGATTTGGTTCAATGTTTAGGTCTCAAATGCAAAATCAACATTATAATGATGAAAATATGATGACACTAGTAGATAATTCACTTACAAACTCGGAAGATATGTAATATTTCAGATTTTGTAGAGGGTACCTTTGCATCATAACCGATATATATATATATATATATAACTTTTTTGGAAATGGGGTTGTATGTATATATATACAACCCCATTTCCAAAAAAGTTGGGACACTGTGCAAAATGTAAATAAAAACAAAATACAATGATGTGCAGATCATTTAAACCCCTATGTTTAATAAAAATAGTACAAAGACAACATATCAAATGTTGAAACAGAGAAATTTTATTGTTTTTTAAAAAATATTTGCCCATTTTGAATTTGATGCCAACAACACATTCCAAAATAGTTGTGAAGGCACCATTAATGCTGAATGATATATACATGTTTTGGCAACATATGCTGCAATATTTTTCAGGGAAGGCCTATTTTAGCAAGATTTGCATATTTCAGCAAGACAATGTAAAACCAGATTCTGTATGTATTGTATGAACAGCATTGGTCCGTATTAAAAGAGTCTGGGTGCTGAACTGGCCTATCTGCAGTCCAGACCTGTCACTTGCTATCAAACATTTGGCACATTATGAAATGAAAAATACGACAAAGGAGACCCTGAACTGTTGAGCAAATGAAATCCTATATCAAACAAGAATGGGAAAAATTTCACTTTCAAAACTACAGTAGTTGATCTCCTCAGTTCCCAAACACTTACAGAATGTTGTTAAAAGAAGAGGTGATGAAACACAGTGGTGAACATGCTCCTGTCCCACCTTTTTTGGAATGGGTTGGTGGCATCAAATTCAAAATGGGCATATATTTTTCAAAAAACAATAAAATTTCTCAGTTTCAACATTTGATATGTTGTCTTCATAGTATTTTCCTTTAAAAATATGGCTTACATGATTTGCATATCATTGCATCCTATTTTTATTTACATTCTGCACAGCGTCCCAACTTCAGCCTCCCTACTTTCATGCGTTAAATCCCCTCTACCACCTATCATCAAGCACAACAGTCAGTTAGCTCAGAGACTCCCCCCATACCACATTTCACTCAGAAATACATCACAGTATGGAATGAAAATGTTATTTCAGATTCATTGCCTTTAAGAAAAGAAGAATCTTTTCATAGTCACTGTGAAGCATGGTGGAGGTAGTGCCACAGATTCACCACGCATGGCCACCATTTGTACTGATTCATCTATCTTTGCTAAAACAATAATGATCATAACATAATGACTTCAATGATAAACATAAAATACCACTATATTCATTTTCCAGCACCTGAATGATTAAAAAATGTGAAGGATTTTCATGTGGGAATAAGTGGACATTCAGTCTATGGTATGCATTTTACTTGACTGAACTCAGTGTTCACAATTGTTATTAAAGCACTGCATTACTGTTCAAAAAAATAAAAAAAAATCTAAAATTTTCTGATTGTTGTGTTGTACAACATTTGAACATAGCAACCGATGAATGGAGCAATAGACATTCTCTAATGTTAACTGGAATAAGATCTTTTTAATTTAACTTGCATTCAATTTTCCATACAGTTACTATTTTGGAAAAACTTCTCCCTTTTTTTTGGACAGCAACAATTTGCTGGCATGTGCTCCCTGTTTTGCATTACTTTGCTTTAAAGCTACACAATGAATGATTTTCAGTTTGTTAAAATTGAAAGACAACATACTAAAATATAGTGTTTCGTGTGCTGTTGTGAGTATTTTAAAAATCATAGGTGTCCATTTCATGGGAATTTTCAGCCCATACATCTTTACATATTAATGTCAGATCCAAAGGCTCAAAAAGAATCTCCAGCTCAATGTTTAGGTCTTACATCCTCAGAAAACACATCCTTCACCAGGTTTTCAGTGAGTTCTCTTCGATTCCTCTTTCAACATGCTCACAAACTTCAGATTCATCTGCTTGGGGAAGGGGTTAACTGACGTTACAAAAATGTTTTTACAAAATGTTTTTCCGCACATTGCATGCAATTACACATCTCCACCAGAGAGGTCTCCAAATTCCCAAAAGTTACATAGCGCAGCTTTAAATGAATGTGTGTTCTAATGCATTACGTCACCTACATGGGTTCATGGACCACCAAAAGGACAGCAGAACACTACATTATATATTATTCAAGGACAGTACATTATACAAATATATAAATAATAAAAGAGTTACTTCTGCCTTATATTTACCTTTTTACATAAATCTGAGCTGCTGGGAGATGTAAAATCTCAATACTTGAGTGCATGAATGTTTATAATGATTGTGTTGGTGTTTATTGCAGG